TGCCGGTCGTTTCCATCGTTTTGCTGCATTTTGTGGTCATTATAAAGTTTACCGTGCACACAATGCAGTACAGTATACTGTATTTGCAGTAATCACGGTCAATGAAAAAGCCTAGAAACAGGATCAACCCAAACACCCCTGCTGCCCGCACTCTCATCGAAGGATGGTTGGATTGACTCTGTAGAGTCAGACGCTGTCTCTGCACTTTGCAAAACGATCAAGAAACTGTTGCAGCCACCTCTCAACAAGTGATTCTCTCAACTGAAACATACCTCCTACGGGCATGCGCCGGATTCGGCTGATCGCTCGGCTGGTGCAAGCCCTGGCCGGGCACCGGGTCTTGTCTATCGAAGGCATCCGAGCAGTTTCAGACCCAAGTCGTTTCGTCGGAAGTCACAGCTAGTTTCTAGACTTGCTGCTAGCATGCTGCAAGATCGTGGCCACGTCTGTTATTCCCCAACGCCAAAGAAAATAAGTGTCCAGTCCCTGTCGACGTCTAGCATGTCTGCAACTAAGATGCTATGCATGCATTCAGATCATAGCGTGACCTCTCCGGGTCAAAGTTCATAGGGTCTACGATGCAGATTATACAGTAAGTTAGTTATAGCAGCGGCCTTCTCGATTCTTCCAAGCAGCGGTCTTCTCGGAATCAGCGCGCGGGTGCTCGCTTCTTCAGCATACATTTAGATGGCCGCTAGGCTACACCAGATATGGCGTGACCGCTGATCTCGTCGATGATTGGCCAATAGTAGCGACCCAGCTGTTTGCTCACTTTTCCTCTTCCAAGCTTGTTGCCATTTCTTCCATTTTCTTGCTGGGAACGGTTTGCTTTGTCGTCCTCTCTACGTTCTCCTCCATTCGACTAAGTTCGTGTCCGGACCCAATGGGTGTTCGGTATGGTTTGACCAGAAAGCAAGTGCCTAATGAGTCGTGTTCTCCAATACCGAGAACTATCATTTTCCCCGAGGGCGCGAAGCTTGAGCGTGCAGAGAAGGCCGTTCCCCTTCAGCGAAATAATTAATTTGGGCGGGAGTTCCTAGCCGCTGAGTTATCGTCAAGTGTGAACAAAACATGCTCTTCTAATTATTGTTACTTGCAAGAACAATGGTCTTGGAGACGTTTAGGTAAAGTATACGCAGCGTCACAGTGAGGAGCATTTTCACTCGCTAGGTTTCAATCCAATGGTGGTGCACACATCCGCTAAAGAGGAAAGTCGGAAATGCACGCTCCAAATGGTCGTTTTCGTCCTTGTGATCAACGGCTCATGGACGTTAGCCCCCAAACACCGTAAGCTGCCATTTGAAGATGCTTGTGATTAAACGGGTGCTGAACTGCCAACTATCCAAAACATAATTTTCTATTCTGTTGAAATTCTATTTTCAACATTCAACAGCAACCCCACCATGATGAACGGACTGCATGGCGTGGCCAAGACACCGGCCTACACGGTAACAGCGTGCGCACTCCTCACCGGTGCACCTTGCTCGGCTGTTGAACGAGGCGGACAGACCGGTGGCTTTCTCTAACGTAACTCGTTGCTACCACTAGCATGCAGCTCTGCAGCCGGCCATCCAGGGAAAGACTGTGTGATTGCAGCATCGGACCCAGTCACCAATAAAACAGAGCAGGGTAAGATCCGAGCTTGCTTCCACTATTTGTACTGCTGGTCGTGCGTTTATGATTAGACTGGTTAGCATTTTACCGTTCACGCTATTTTCGACGGTCGGCCTTCACCGTTTTTTGTGTATGTAGACATGGCATTTTACCGTTCACGCGCTAGATCCAACAGTACTCGTACCCAACACCCAAAATACCGTCGGTTTGGTACCGTTTCGACGATAGAAAGCTCTAGACATGGTTAGCATTTTATCGCTCACGCTATTTTCGACGGTCGGCGTGTAGAGGGCGAGTCTACTGTTTTTGATGTGTTTTCGAAACACGGTTAGCAGTTCGGCTTCTGAGTCCTGACTCCTGACGCAACGATAGACGTGTGAGGTAACCCTAGTTGGAATCTTACCGTTTCGTTCTCCCGCTAAAAAGAGCTTTCTATCGTCGAAACGGCACCAAAAACGACGGTATTTTGGGTTCGGGGTACGAGTGCCGTTGGATCTAGCGCGTGAACTGTAAAATGCCATGTCTACACACACAAAAACCGGTGCAGGCCGACCGTCGAAAAATAGCGTGAACGGTGAAATGCCAACCATGTCTAGAATTTAGCGGGAGAACGAAACGGTAAGATTCCAACTAGGGTTACCTCACACGTCTATCGTTGCGTCAGGAGTCAGGACTCAGAAGCCAAACTGCTAACCGTGTCTCAAAAACACGTCAAAAACAGTAGACTCTCCCTCTACACGCCGACCGTCGAAAATAGCGTGAACGGTAAAATGCTAACCATGTCTACTGTATACTGTTAATTTGGTCGTATACACACACAGTATAGTGCTGCTCTTTGCCCGATAAATCAAAATGTCTGCCCTGGGCATTTTTGGAAGGGAACATGTCTTGTGCACCCCAAGGATATGGGGATTTCGTGTCATACACTGCCTTTCATCGTTAGTATGAGGCATTGGCAGCAAAAACTTGAGTTGGGTAGCTTGTTAGAAAACACGTTCCTTGTAGCTTTGCTATATCCACCAAATCGATCCGTGGGCTGAATTTTGGGGCTCTAAGGGCTTTACCAGATGGTAAAACAGCTGAAAATCTTCCTGGCGAGGAAAGTGTTACTTGTCGACCGCTCTTTTCCTGAGGCAATCCACATTTGTCACCATTGATAACTGATGCCATTTTGCCCTGTAGCATGGTACTTTGCCTGAATAGTTCTTATTGTTGGTGTGGACGCTGTGAGGTTGTCTAGCTCTAGTTTGCAGCATGTTTTCCATCACCGCTTGTTCACACATCAGTCTCACCACATGAGCTACTGTGATTAGTATCTAAGCGCAACATTGCAGTGTTCATACCATTGATATGGTCTTCTCATCCGATGTAGTCTTGGCATGTACAGTCAGACCTTGCTTAACCGCACACATCCGTTTTCCACAAAAATATTCGGATAGGTGAGGGAACCGGATAATCGAACACACATACTGTATGTGTGCATGACATATGCTGTAAATCGGTACGGGCGCGTTCAGACTACCGTGAATCCCGTCAAACCGTGAATAGCAATAAACCGTGAAGGACATTCCCACTACCGATAAACTAACGTTACCGCTACGTAAGTTTTGCAGCTCTCACCGCGGCACTGAGAAAAGGATTTTCCCTTTTTCCCAGGCTGTGCACTTTTTTTACTGCTGGAAAAGTTTTACTGCCGCGGCAGTAAAACTTGTCCACAGGTAACGTGCCAGTAACAGCACGTGATAAAATCACCTTGGAAGCTTTCCCAATTGGTCACTTTTATCGGTAGTCTGAACGCGACCTAGCCAACGATTTTCTTCCGGATGGCGAGGGATCTGGATAAAAGAGGGCCGGATAAACGAGGTCAGACTGTATATATATATAAACTAGATCCACCTCACTTTTTATCTACTTCTTACCAACCGTGATGGTGGCCTCAGGGCGAATATTGGCCAATGTCCATTTTCTCAAATGCAGTGAAGAGACTGGTGAACAAAAGTTTCCATGATTTCCATCATCAACTACCAACTTTGACAGCCAAGTCCAAAGGAAAAACAACTTGCGTATGAATGCATGTCATCCACATTACGGCTGTTTTTGGCCGTGTTTCAGGTGACTGAACACTCTACTATAGCATGCTGCAGATATACAGGTGCTTCGAAGGCCGTAAGCTTTGAAGGGTTCAACGATCCCCACCACCCCGCCCTCTTTCTATTCTGTTTGAGTCAATACGTCAAGCAGCGAACAAGCCAACAAGGCATTTGTTTTCACCTCTTCTGTAGAAACTCAGACTTGTTCGGGTCTTTCTGTTCCCTGCAGGGCACAACCTGACTTCACAACTGCTTGCGCAGACTTCCAAGGAAGATAAGCATTACGGTGTGGATGGCCGGATATTTCCCGGTTGCTGGTATGTGAGCTGTCTTCCGTGGATATCATGGTAGTTTTCACGTTCACCGTTAGCCTTTCATCGCAATGACGTATCTTCTCTACCGCACTTGTGTAAGTTGTGTTTCTACTGTGGGTTTGTTGAATTTTCTTGTTCATTTTGCAATTAAGGGATGGTTTCTTTTGGGCCCCTTTCCTCCATGCAGCTGCTCATTGTGTATGCAAGTGGTAGAGCTTCTGGAAACGTGTTGCATGGCATGAATTCTGATCGCAATGGTTTCAAGTCCACGCACAAGTCTTTCGCAGACAAACTCCTGACTGTCAATGTCCTTTCGCAGACCAACTCCTGTAGGTCAATGTCCTTTCGCAGACCAACTCCTGTAGGTCAATGTCCTTTCGCAGACCAACTCCTGACTGTCAATGTCCTTTCGCAGACCAACTCCTGTAGGTCAATGTCCTTTCGCAGACCAACTCCTGTAGGTCAATGTCCTTTCGCAGACCAACTCCTGACTGTCAATGTCCTTTCGCAGACCAACTCCTGTAGGTCAATGTCCTTTCGCAGACAGTTACAGAGATATGCCGACGCTGCACAGCCTAGTTAGGTATGATTTTATGATTTCAATCTTTACTATCATTTCCTAAACCTAAATATAACTGATGCTAATTCAAACATGCTAAGCCTGAAAATAAAGCAGCGGTGGGATATCTGTGTAACGTCCATCTTTTCTGGAAATGATGCAATGTACGATTTTTTATCTCTTCACGAAGTTGGAACATATCAATAGCTTTGCAAATGTTTTGTTGTAACTGATGCGAGCCGTACAGATGTAGCATCTTCAAACATCACCGCCCAGCAGCGAAATGTTTAATCTACCACTTGCATCAGCGTTTAGTAGCTGAAACTTGCCGCCTCCTCCTCCTCCTCTCTCTCCCCCCCCCCCTGCAGAATCAGTTGTTGCAGACTCTGAAGTCGTGACCATTTCAACCCATAATATTGTTGATCAATGAGCAATGAGCAATGCAGAGCCAGAGAACTATTTCACAGCAGCATGAAGAATGGTAGTGTAGTGCAATGATATGGAGAATTCAGATGTGATAGAATGAATAAACCTCCAGTCTTGCAATCTGTTTCATTGGGTCCTTGCCTTCTGTTTTTGGTGTTGTCACGGTGTGCTTGTGTGTGTGTGTGTGTCTGTGTGTGTGTCTGTCTGTCTGTCTGTCTGTCTGTCCGTCTGTCTGTCGGTGTACATGCATGAATATGGTAATGGGTTTTGAGCAATGCTGCATAGAGATTTCCAGGAGTACTATGAAGAATTAGCGACCACACAGCCGATGGTGATGGCGTGTATCAGCAACAAGTGGACTGACCAACTGAACCTGTTGCTAAGTATCAATATCCTGTTATTTACTCCTTCGCTATTGGTAATTTTCCGATTGTCTCAATAGCTTCCAACTCATCCAGGTAGTGCATTGTTGCGTATTTGTGTTTTCCTGTGCAAACAAATATTTCCTTTGTGTTTTTTTTGTGCCTGTTTTCTATTCCGTCCATATCTTTCAGGTACATCGTTTTCTGCTCCCAAACCACTCATCGTTCGACAGCTGCAACGTTGGGGTAGGGGTGTGACAGGTGTTCCGTTCCAACCCGGGAAGGGGAGGGTAATGGCAGGCAGCTAGCTGGTGATGGCCGCCGATAATCCATATTTGGATTATGGTGAAAATTCAAAGTTAAAGCGGATAAAATTGATTCGATATTGCACAAAAAAAAAGAGATGCGCCTTTATATGAGTGACAGAAATCACCTCTCATTCAGCTCGAAATTGTAGCAATAACTACAGTTTGAGTGTACAGTGTCGTGCGCTTTTCGAAATGTTCCATGTCTACATACTTCTATTTTTTGAAGTAATATCGACTCCACAAAACCGTTGAAGGTATAGTATTGATGCATACACATGTCTGTCTAATCATTCCATTACAACATTTGTTCCTTACAAAAATATCCTATCAACCTCACCAATCTATTTAAGGATGGGGGAATTGTCAACCATGGCTTTACCTCGACCATTCTCATTAGCATTTGGATACATTCTTGCTATCCCTCATACAGATCCACAATGCAGTGGCATCAAACATTGGCCCGTCTAGTAATTCCCAGCCTGGACTGAAGAAGCAGCTGGATGATGCAACGGGACAACAATCCTCAACTAAACTCAAACACAATCCACCTTTCCATTCCCTCAACTTATGAACAATTCAATACAATCACAAATGCATTGTCACCGAATTACTTTACAAATATGTTTTCTTTCTCTGCCATTTTACTCCTAACCTCTTTTGATACATTACCACTTTACTATCAATATTTTTTTCATTATATATTTCAATGCATGTTCTGCTGCTGCTCTTCCGCTGCTTCTCCGCTGCTCTTCTGCTGCACTTCTGCTGCACTTCCGCTGCTCTTCCACTGCACTTACGCTGCACTTCAGCTGCACTAACGCTGCTTCATTGCTGCACTTCCGCTGCTTTTCCGCTGCTTCATTGCGGCTCCTCCACTGCTTTCCTGCTGCTTTTCCGCTGCTTTTCTTCTGCTGCACTTCCGCTGCTCCACCGCTGCTCTTCTGCTGCTCCACCTCTGCTCTTCTGCTGCACTTCCGCTGCTCTTCTGCTGCACTTCCGCTGCTCTTCTGCTGCACTTCCGCTGCTCTTCTGCTGCACTTCCGCTGCTCTTCTGCTGCTCTTCCACTGCACTTCCGCTGCTCTTCAGCTGCACTAACGCTGCTTCACTGCTGCTTCATTGCTGCACTTCCGCTGCTTCACTGCGGCTCCTCCGCTGCTTTCCTGATGCTTTTCCACTGCTTTTCTTCTGCTGCTCTTCAGCTGCACTTCTGCTGCTCTTCAGCTGCACTTCAGCTGCACTTCTGCTGCTCTTCAGCTGCTCTTCAGCTGCACTTCTGCTGCTCTTCCGCTGCACTTCTGCTGCTCTTCAGCTGCACTACCGCTGCTCTTCTGCTGCTCTTCCGCTGCACTAATGCTGCTTCACTTCTGCTTCATTGCTGCACTTCGCTGCTCTTCAGCTGCACTTCCGCTGCTCTTCTTCTGCTCTTCCGCTGCACTAATGCTGCTTCATTGCTGCACTTCCGCTGCTTTTCTTCTGCTGCTCTTCAGCTGCACTTCCGCTGCTCTTCTGCTGCTCTTCCGCTGCACTAATTCTGCTTCACTGCTGCTTCATTGCTGCACTTCCGCTGCTTTTCTTCTGCTGGACTTCGCTGCTCTTCAGCTGCTTCAGTGCTGCACTTCTGCAGCACTTCCGCTGCTCTTCAGCTGCACTTCCGCTGCACTTCTGCTGCTCTTCAGCTGCACTTCCGCTGCTCTTCAGCTGCACTTCCGCTGCTCTTCTGCTGCTCTTCCGCTGCACTAATGCTGCTTCATTGCTGCACTTCGCTGCTCTTCAGCTGCTTCAGTGCTGCACTTCTGCAGCACTTCCGCTGCTCTTCAGCTGCACTTCCGCTGCACTTCTGCTGCTCTTCAGCTGCACTTCCGCTGCTTTTCTGCTGCTCTTCCGCTGCACTAATGCTGCTTCATTGCTGCACTTCCGCTGCTTTTCCGCTGCTTCACTGCGGCTCCTCCGCTGCTTTTCCGCTGCTTTTCTTCTGCTGCACCTCGCTGCTCTTCAGCTGCTTCAGTGCTGCACTTCTGCAACACTTCCGCTGCTCTTCAGCTGCACTTCCGCTGCTCTTCCGCTGCAATTCTGCTGCAATTCTGCTGCTCTTCAGCTGCACTTCAGCTGCACTTCCGCTGCACTTCTGCTGCTCTTCTGCTTCATTCTGTTGCTCTTCTGCTGCTCTTCCGCTGCACTAATGCTGCTTCATTGCTGCACTTCCGCTGCACTAATGCTGCTTCATTGCTGCACTTCCGCTGCTTCACTGCGGCTCCTCTGCTGCTTTCCTGCTGCACTTCGCTGCTCTTCAGCTACTTCAGTGCTGCACTTCTGCAGCACTTCCGCTGCTCTTCAGCAGCTCTTCAGCTGCACTTCCGCTGCTCTCCCGCTGCACTTCTGCTCTTCAGCTGCACTTCCGCTGCACTTCTGCTGCTCTTTAGCTGCTCTTCTGCTGCTCTTCCGCTGCACTTCAGCTGCTCTTCAGCTGCACTTCAGCTGCACTAACGCTGCTTCATTGCTGCTTTTCTGCTGCTTCACTGTGGCTCCTCCGCTGCTTTCCTGCTGCTTTTCCGCTGCTTTTCTTCTGCTGCTCTTCAGCTGCTCTTCCGCTGCTCTTCCGCTGCTCTTCAGCTGCTTCAGTGCTGCACTTCTGCAGCACTTACGCTGCCCTTCAGCTGCACTTTTGCTGCTCTTCTGCTGCACTTCAGCTGCTCTTCAGCTGCACTTCCGCTGCTCTTCAGCTGCACTTCCGCTGCTCTTCAGCTGCACTTCCGCTGCTCTTCAGCTGCACTTCTGCTGCTCTTCCGCTGGTTTTCCGCTGCTCTTCAGCTGCATTAATGCTGCACTAACGCTGCTTCACAGCTGCTTCATTGCTGCACTTCCGCCGCTTTTCCGCTGCTTTTTTGCTGCTCTTCCGCTGTTTCATTGTTGCACTTCTGCTGCTCCTCCGCTGCTTCATTGCTGCTTTTCCGCTGCTCCTCTGCTGCATTCCCGCTGCTTCACTGCTGCACTTGCGCTGCTTCCCTGCTGCTTTCTGCTGCACACACAATCTCTTCAGGCATCCCACCCAGCGCTACGCTATTGTCTACATCGTGGGGTCAGCCACCGCTACGCTATGGTCGACATCGTGGGGTCGGCCACCTCTACGCTATGGTCAACATTGTGGGAGCAACCTGCGCATATTCACTAAAAGTTAAGTTAGTCACGGAGGTTAGATATGTGTTCAGTATGGGTTGAATTTTGCCAACTTGTACTAAAACTTGTTACATCTCCTGCAGGTGGAAATGTGGGCTTGGTGGGCTAGTGATTGGCACAATACGGAGAAATCCTGAACCGAAGTAATTTATGCCAATTGCAGTGCACCTTTATGCTGTTCGATTATTTCATGTTCATTCTTTGTCCCTTTGTGCTCGCTACTTTCACATCAGTCCCATATTCCAGGCTGCAGTTTGTATCAAGTAATGCTCTGTTTGGCCTTGTGTTTTCATTGCGTAGCAATTGATCCATGCCTCAACGGCTGTCTGGGGATTGGAATTTTGTGATGAGTATTTTTGTGTTGGAGTGGTCATGTGCTGAACGATTTGTTTTCTTGTTGTGATTTTCTCCAGCCAACTTCATTAACATTCAGCTATAGCTGCTGTCAACATCATCACTGCCGGTAACCCTTACTCTACTCTCCACACCCATCACCTGCTGCCGCTGCTAACTCCAAGGGACCATGTATCCCCGTCACCATATGTTCAACAGCTGACTCTACACTACAACTAACGTGGGTTTGACCTGTGCTACGCTTTGACCATTGTCATCACCCATAGTATAAACTAATGCTACACCATGGTCAACATCCTGGGACCCTCCAACACTACGCTATCATCAACATACCGGGTTCTACCAGTGGAACACTATGGTAAACATCGTGGGGTCAGCCACAGCTATGCTATGGTCAACATCGTGGGGTCAGCTACGCTATGGTCAACATCGTGGGGACAGCCATCGCTACGCTATGGTCAATGCCGTGGGGTTAGTCAGCGCTACGCTATGGTCAACGCCGTGAGGTCAGCCACCGCTACGCTATGGTCAACGTCGTGGGGTCAGCCAAGGCTATGCTATGATCAATATTGTGGTGTCAGCAAACGCTACGCTATGGTCAACATCGTGGGGTCAGCCACCACTACGCTATGGTCAACATCGTTGGGACAGCCATGGCTACGCTATGGTCAACATCGTGGGGTCAGCCCCCCCCCCCTGCTACGCTATGGTCAACATCGTGGGGTCAGCCATCACTACGCTATGGTCTACATCATGGGATCAGCCACCGCTACGCTATGGTCAACATCGTGGGGACAGCCATCGTTACGCTATGGTCAACATAGTGGGGACAGCCATCGTTACGCTATGGTCAACATCGTGGGGACAGCCACCGCTACGCTACGGTCAACATCGTGGGATCAGCCGCCACCAGGCTATGATCAACATCGTGGGAGCAACCTGTGCTTATTCACTAAAAGTTAAGTGTTTTAGGAATGTTGAAACTATGTTAAGTTAGTCAGGGAGGTTAGATATGTGTTCAGTATGGGTTGAATTTTGCCAACTTGTAGTAAGACTTGTGATTACATCTCCTGTAGATGGAAATGTGGGCTTGGTGGGCTAGTGATTGGCACAATACGGAGAAATTTCGAACCGAAATAATTTATGCCAATTGCAGTGCACTTTTATGCTGTTCGATTATTTCATGTTCATTCTTTGTCCCTTTGTGCTCGCTACTTTCACATCAGTCCCATATTCCTGTCTGCAGTCTGTGTCAAGTCGTGCTCTGTTTGGCATTGTATTTTCATTGCCTAGCAATTAATTCATGCCTCACTGCTGTTTGAGGATTGGAGTTTTGTGATGCGTATTTTGGCGTTGGATTGGTCATGTGCTGAAAAATATTTCTGGTGGTGATTATCTCCAGCCAACCTCATCACCATTCTGCTATCGCTGCTGTCAACACTATAACTGCTGGAAACACCTGCTCTACTGTCCACATCACATGACCTGATACCACTGCCATTGTTCGGCCGCTAAATCCAGGGGTGGAGTTATCCAGAGAAGCATCTCCACCCCACCAGTCACCAAGGTAAACATAATGCATGTACCTGCATGACTGTATTTTGGTGCCCACCCAACTGAAGCAAGTAGTGCAGTGTCATGGCTGTGCATGTAACTGTAACCATCAATGTTACATTGCAATAGAGTTAATTTAAATGCTGGCAAGTACTGTGAAGTAGTAGCCATGTCTGCAGCATGCCACTGACTTGGGCCATTCCTCGTCTTGATGATTTGACGAGCTGAATTTGTCACAGTTCGTGTTCAAATCACGTAAAAGCTGCACTTTAAAACTAGATTGCCGTCAACTGCACGGGTCGACAGCAGCAGATGCAGTACATGCCTCATTGGAGTTCACAGAATTTGACGTCAGTCATTGCCTTGGTTTCAAATGTTCCGCCCCATACTGCACATGTGTGTCTCTTTACAGTACTTTGCTGCTGGTATGGCAAATTTGCTAGATTCCCAAATCTCTGGCCGGGGTACATAGTGTCACTTATAGCGTGTGTTGAAAATTAAAGTTGTATTAAATTTAGTAAATTTAGTACTTGATATTATTGTTTAGATGTTTCCCTGGCCCCTGGCCCCCAGATATATCAGATGTTAGATTGATCCTCATTGTACGCACTACTAGAGTTGGATGTTTCATGTAGGATTAATCTTTGCAGGAAAGTGTATGTTTAGGAACCCTATCAGACTTAGCCTAATGCTTTTGGACGTTGTGATGGTATGCACCCAGACACAAACTTTTGATGAATAGCCGACGCACTCACGTGCACACACGTACACATGCACACACTATCCCTTTCCAATATTCTGCGCTAGTGATTCGGTTTGTCTTTGAGTGTCCTCGGTACAGTTTCAACATGTTGCAGAGAATTGTGTCAAGAACGAAGGCCGTCAACATGAAGTCACCAGCAGCTGCCTGCCGCTACCCACCCCGGGTTGGTCAAAAAATGGAAGTGGATTGGCTTCAGGTCATTGCTGTAAGAACCACCAATGACCTGAGTCTCTTCCTCTTCTATTTTGCCCAAAAAATATGGAACGGAACACCTGTCACTTTGGGGGAATCTAAATTAATGTTGTAAACTCCACAAATCAAATCAAAACTTTAGGAAAACCCTTTGAAGTTCTAACATAAAAAGAACTAAAAATCAAAAGAATTCTAGCAAACCGCACTGCACTCGGAAACCCAAATGTTGAAAGTAGGGGAAACCTATCGCCAAAATTTTCAGGAATCCATTCATTGCTGCCCGCCTTCAAAAATGTATGTGGCCCATTCAAATGTATGCAGCACATTCAAATGTATGCGGCCCCATCCAAATGTATGTACCCCATCAAAATGCATGCAGCCTATTCCAATGTACATGCAGCCCATTCAAATGTATGCAGCCCATTCAAATGTATGCAGCCCATTCAAATGTATGCAGCCCATTCAAATGTATGCAGCCCATTCAAATGTATGCAGCCCATTCATATGTATGCAGCCCATTCAAATGTATGTAGCCCATTCAAATGTATGCAGCCCATTCAAATATGGCCAAGGATCTGCTAAAACCACCCTTTGGTGCTATTTTGCCGAAAATGAGTTTTTGGCGGGAAGTTGGTCCCTGGACATTGCCCGAACATATGGTGAAGTATTAGGCTCAAATTGTATATATTCATTGAAATATGACCCATCTTATGCAAGCTTTTGGTGCATAAAAATGCCGAAAATAATTGATATTCACACTATAATTCGTATCTGAGGCTTCATACACCTGTCTAGGATACACCTGTCTATGCACAGAGAAAAACTATTTTGCACAGTTATCCAGTATTCTACTATGTATGTTCCGAACATATAATTAGGACATTGGCTCTGCTTGGTCTGGTGCTGGGCAGGTGGTATCTCTGCTCTCTGCGTGGCAGTGCTGACGAATCTGTTGGTGCAAGTACTTTGCACGCTCCGTGAGATTCCAGCCGTCTGGAGCGTCACTGGCAGATGATCAGATGCCAGGCAGTAATACACTTTTGATAAAAATCACGGGCCACGTTAGCTTCATCAATATGAGCTTTGAGTGCGTCAGTGTGCTTAAAAGCGAGTTTCTGCCGTTCTTGCCCTTACGATCTGAGACTGCAGATCGGAACATACACCGCACACATCTTCTTTTGGCCTCATAATTATCACATCACTGCACTCGCTGCTCCATATTTTCAGGAACGTTGTGTATGCTACTGTTCCTCCAGCCTTGATATATTCAGTATGCGCATGCTTCTTGGTAGTAGCACATGGCAGGTAAGTAAGTTGGAGCGGGCCTCTGGCCTGGGGCAGCAGGCTGGGGAAGTCCATTGATGTCACCATAGTTGCAGGCAGTGCATTCCAGGGCAAAGTACCCTCATGTGCGTGCTGAGGGGGAGCGACAGCATGCTCATACTCATAGACATCCGCCTTAATTTGTTTTAGCTTCCACTCCTTTACCATGATTATGTGCGTACATGAAAACAGTCTGGCACACTTCGTCACCATCCACTTCATAGCGATAAGTGGACGGGACCTTTCTCCGCGCTGCATCCGTTGTGCGATGCTTCCATGGTGAGAAGTAACTGCCTGCGTCGTCTAAACACATCGAGCTTTCCAGCGACGTAACAGTACAGCTCCTCGTTCGTCATTGCGAGCGCTGTGTTGCGTGCAGTGAGTAGAGTATCCGGTGTCGTTCTTGAAACAGTTGACATCGGCACAACTGCAACCTTTGTCCACTCGCGCCTGTACCTCTTCAACAGTACTGGGCGCCGCCTGGCCACGGGATTTCTTAGGTTGGTCCTGTCCTCGGGCGGCGAGGGCTTGTGCTGGCTGTAGCG